TTGGTGTTTTAAACTGAACAATGAAGTCTTATGATAAATAAATCATTAAAATCTTGTCATAGTATTTATACAACAGGATGACTAAATTAAAAAACAAAACTTTCAGTTGATGTACAGAGAATTGATAAAGCAAATAGTTGCCCTTAGCAGTTTTCACGCTCACAAACTGACCTGGAAACCTAAGATCTAGCATAAATATCCCCAGGAAATATAGCTAAGGTTTAAACAAAAAGCATCTCTGCTATTTTATGCTTGGGAATGGATTTAGGTTTCCTCATATTCCGCTCTAATACTGTTGCAATAATGTGTTTTCTGTGCTAGGACATTAGATATAGGAAAAAATGAATGCTCAATACGCAGGAAGGCATCATTCCAAAATTAATTGAGTTGGATTTCACCAGAACCTTAACATTTTATTCCAGTTAGTACTTGTACAATAGGCAATGCACAGTTTGAAGTGTTAATCAGTAGTTCACTAACTTCAGAAACAAATTATGGTATTTACTAATTTATGTATTTACTAAATTATGTATTCCTGGCCTCTCTCTAGAGTCTAGACATTTGAAAATCAGAATATCTAAATATGAGGCCTAAAACTGACATTGCTAACATTTCCCAGGTGATTCTTATGCTCATTAAATTTGAGAATTACCTAACTAGAGGATAACTTGGACTCTGGTTCGTTCCTGCAGTGATGTCGATCCAAACTGAGCTCTTTATGCATCAAATTTGATGGTCATCTTCCTTTTAAGTAATAGGATTACTGCTCAATCTAATTTTTGTGATCACTATTGTAGCAGAGATTGGACAGTAATGCAATGTGTAACTTCAGGCCAAACATTTACCTCAAAGCTTATCGAAAACTATCTCTGCCCTTCTTTGAATAAAGAATTATCTGGTGAATGTACACACACATACATGCTTTACTATTTGTTGTACTTTACTGTTTCATGTTTTTATTCCCAAAGCTTAAGGGGGGGGGGGGGTGTGAATAAAGTTGCTTTTTTAAACTTTTTAGATTATATTTTTTTCCAAAGATATAGCAGTAAATTTAAGTAACGTTACCTATGACTCATGAAAGAGCACATTTTAGACTAGGTCAATGATTTAATATACTTTTTAGCCCTGATCATATCATATTCCTCAGCTTCAGATCAAGAAAAGGGTGTCAACATCTTTTAAGAATCAAAAGGAGGCCCGGCGGGTGTGGCTCAGTGGTTGAGCATCGACCCATGCACCAAGAGGTCACCAGTTCGATTCCTGGTCAGGACACATGCCCAGGTTGTGGGCCAAATCCCCAGTGGGGGACATGCAGGAGGCAGCCAATCGATGTTCTCCCTTATCGATGTTTCCATCTCTCTCTCCCTCCCCTAAAATCATTAAAGAAAAAAAAAAAAGAATTGAAAGGAGGCCTAGAAGTTATCAAATCCAACTTTTTACTCAAAAAGGCAGCCGTCTCAATGGAGGTTTCTGAGTCATCCACTTCCTGCATGAACACTTTTGCTGTTGGAATCGTTTCACAAAGCAGTGAGTACTGGGGGATAGCACCTTCACACACAGAGCCCAAATCTGTCTCGCTCAGCTTCCTCCACCTGCTGGTTTGAGACTTGTTCTCTTACATCCTCCCTAAATTCGAAGACAGCTCTCACGTCTCTCTTAGTTGTTCACTGGCTGTCTCCTCTCCCAGGTGGACATCTCAATTCTTTCCCTGCAAGGCATCTATGAAATTGGTATTCATTTTGTAATTGGTGGCTTGTCATAGTTTGAGCTACTTCTTCCTTGGTGGTACACAAAATAATGATGTACCTTACAATTGTTGGCAATTAGGTTTGCTGAAATACAGTAATTATCCCACCTCAGTACTTTTTAACTAAACGACAGACATTTAAGATTATTCAGTTTAACTCTTTACCTTACCTTACACAGAACACTTTCCATGCAGTCTCCCTGGTTATGTTCTATGAGACTGAATCTAATACCTTATAAAGCAACTCATTTCAAAATCTTAATTACCTGTTAAGTTTATTGCACTGAAATCTCATTGGTTCCGCTCTTCAGCCACACAAATAAATTCATCTTTCCTAGACAGCTATTGAATTTGATACTTGAAGATACCATGTTTCCAAAGTTTATTTTCCAATGCTGAACATTCCTACTTCCTGGGTGGGTTTTCTTGGTGTATTTTTAACTCAATATAATAAAATGGGGATACTAAAACCTGCCTCATGAGGCCACGACGAAGACAGGATACAATGAGCTGAGCATGTAAAACACTTAGTATATTGATTTTCAACTAGAAGCTATACCGTGTCCTCTTCTGCTTTCCCCAGTCATGGTGGCTCTTAAAAATACAGCAGACTTCCTACTTGTTTTGAAGACTATACTTTTCCTAATGCAGCTGAAGATTAGTATTCTGAACAGACTCACAATTTAGATTGGTCTACATATGAACCACTCTTATGCCCATTTATATTCTAGAAACCCAAGTGCAAAACTAAGTAATTATCCTGATTCAATGTATCCTATTTGATGCAACTCGACACACAAAATTATAGGTTTGATTTAGATCTTAATTTTGACTTTCACTATGTTTATTTGCTTCATCCCCTAGATTTGTCATTTATTCACGGTATGATGTAATTCACAGGTAATGCTAGTGGCAAAAAGAGAGTGAACCTTGTGACATGCCATTAGGATCTAGTTTTTAAAAAGACAGTGTGATCTGGCTTATCTCCTTCTCCAGAGACTGTCTTAATGGAAACAGTTAGTAGGTACTCCTATGTCTTTTTTTTGTTAACTATACAAACCATGGTTAAGAGAACATTAAATAAAAAGACACCTTTTCTTTTACACATAAGTATGTTTAGGTTTTGCGCAAATTTTCCTGCAAAATTAAGCCTGTTAAGCAAATCTAAGTTAAATTGAGTCTTCCTTTGCAGCCATTCTCAGATGCCACATATTTAACAAGCAATGGGTTACAGTAAACAGAGTACTTAACAAAATGGAAGATCTATGATTTTTGAATGAAAAAATTCAGAGGAAGAGTCAATTACAAAAGGTAAAGTGGGAAAAATTGGAAAAGTTTAGAAGGTTAATTGGAAAGGCTTAAAAAGATTTTGAAAATAAAATTATAGCAAAAAATAGTAAATTATTTCAAAGCCCAATGCTTTAATTTGTACATTTTATTTTCAAATTGAAATATCACTTTATACCATTCAATCAACATGTATTTATCAAGCACCTATTGTGTTCCAAGTTCAGTGGCAAAAAGGAAAAGACCAGATAAATAGTTGGCTTTATAGATACTGTAAGAATTCAAATAAACTTTCAGTTCTTAATTAAAATTTGTTATATTGAAGGAAAGCTGTGTGCAGTGAAAAATCCCTGAAAATGGAGTTTTTTCATATAAATTATAGTATCACCACAAGAAGCATAGAATATATATTTGAAACTGAATAACTCAAAGGACTTTCCTTTGCAACTAAATAACTTGTGGTTTCAGGAAGCCAATTATAGTATAATCACAAAAGTTATTTAACATAATGTACATATTTATGCCACTATATAGGGGGAAATTAAGTAAATTTAAACCTAAGAAAGAAAATGTGAAATATTAGTTTAGGTCAACTTCTGTACATGTACAACCACAAGTTATAAAACCAAGGACTATAGCAGTGTGTTATATTAAAGAGTTTAATATAGTATTCTAAAGATTTCATATAGAATTTTAAAACTTGGATCTTAAGTCAAGAGCATGGTAATTTCTAATATTAACAAGTTATAAAAAGTTGGTTTACATGCAAGAGTTTTCTCATTTTGATGATTCAGGGCAAAAAGAACTCAGAGAACTGATAAAGTGTGCATTGAAAACTTTGTATATGGCAATTAAAACTTAAGCCAAGACAACAAACCACTTGATATGTGTTATCTTGGCTTTCTGAGTCATTCATATAGTACCAATCATGATTATGGTAACACTTACTATTGTTATGTTTGTACTCATAAGAATCAAGATCCCCTTCCATTTTTTTCCGTCTACCTCTAATGGTTATGTAGGAAAAGTTACACTTTACACAGTAAACTCTTATGAAAAAATGTAATCTTTGTTTTTTTAAAATAAATTGATTTGTAGGGTTTGACACTGGTTTATGTTCAAATATGGTATGTGTTCTGTGAAAGTTTTTTTCACAACAATAAAATTATAATTATATAAGTGCCATTTCTCCTACAGAAGAGATGCTTTGGTTTAGATCTGAAAGATTAAAAAATCCTGTTATTTTTATGTCAGTTTCATATCTCAAAATACATAGAAAAAGGTAAATCTTGCATTTTTTTATTCCTGATACACAAACACAGCAATGTCATAAATGTTTAGTTGTTAAACATGATTTGGTAAATGTCAACAAACTTTCACTTTTCATAGAAAAATAGGTTAAAAATGAAAATTTAAAGATCAAAACTCACTGCTCCCCTCACCCCAGTTTTACTATCTTTAGTTCTGCTTTCATAGCTTTAGTCTTCAGACATTTTTAAATACAGTATTTGTTTTTTGATGGAAAAGAATCCATCAGCTTGTAAAAGTGAACTGTCCAGGCCAGTATACTGAAGGGGAAGTCTGTCCTGCACTGCTTACCTTGAGTATTATTACTTCTTAAAGATAAATATCAAAGGTCTATGAGAAATTTCTCATAAAATAAAAGTATTTTGATTGGGTCCCAAGAGTGATCAGGAAGTTTTATTTCTAATGCTGTGATACTCTACTTAAAAAATAGTTTTCTCTGTTTTGAACTTGATTAATGCTAAGACTGTTTAATTTTAACCTATATGTGAAATGATATATGGTTCCATTAAACTACTTGTCAAAAGCTGAAAGAAAACTCATTTTAAATTAGTTACACCATTCAGAGGTTTGATATTTGTGAAACTTTAGTTTTTTTTATCCTCAATTTTTCATGTTGAAGCAATAATTTCACAATTTCAAATCAAAGTCAACACTGCAGTGAGGAGAGCTTTTCTACTTTATTACAAAGAGAAGAAGCCTTTATGTGGTCAGAAAATACAAGATTGATCTTTTTTCTCTTCCTATGAAACGCTGCTGTTCAAACAGCCAGAGTGAATCGTCTCAGTCACTTCTTTAAGTCCCATCACATTCACTTGGGTATGGGTGTCCTCGGCTGCTGAAAATCTGGCCCTTTAGTGCACAGGGCGACAAAGTCCCCTGACCAGCAGTTCCAGAATGTCCCATTTTCATATATTGCATCCATGCACACCTCCTAAAAATGAGGTACAGCAGGGCAAACATTTTCCAAAATAGATGTCATATATATAATATATACACATTCGTACATACATACCTTTATTCATGTGATGTCCAAAAATTTAAAAAAAATGTACACATTTATTACAAAATCGTAACAAAGACTGGACAGTGTTTTGCTCATTCTGGAAAGATGAAGCTCAGTAATAACACAACCCTGGAAACCATCCAGAGATTGTGGCAATATCTTTCTTCTAAACAGTCAGATACTCTTGCATTAAGCTTGGCGAAACTGCCTTTCAAAAACAGAAGGGGAAGTAAAATGAAGGAAGCAGACCTTGCTCATCTTTCCAAATGAAATACGAGAAGGATCTTCACATAAAAATGCACAAACATTTGTTATTTTATTACCAATAGTGCTACAATGAACAATGCAAATTTTGTGGTCTAATTTTGTTGAGTCTTTTGTGGGTTTTCTTTTTTACATTTTAGAAACTAAATGGTAAACTTCTGTCAGTGTACTTGCTTGTCTTTATAGACCCAAGTCTGTCTGCTGGCAAAAAAGAAAATAATGAAAAAATTCAGACCCTGCTCAAACTAGAGAAAAACAAATTACAAATTTAGTTGTTGGGCAGCACATAATTAGTAAGGCAGGACCTCAAATGGTGACCCTTTGCATAAGCCAATTGCCAAATCCTCAAGGAATTAAAACCAGGGTGCCTGAGCCACATCAGTTCTGCAGTTATGTTGAGTATTGTGCTGAGACAGCCATACCCCAAGAAAAGGGAAGTCTTTTTTTAGAAGGCTTGCTGAGCAGGGTTGTAGTTGAAGGTGGATGGCAGGTGAGGCCGTTCTTCTAATTTGTCATATTCCAAATGGAACTCCTATAAAACCAAATTTCAGAATTTAGATAATTTCCTTTCCCATTGTTCTCAAAAAGTTTTGTCAAAACATATTTTACTATATGAACAAAATACCTACATCTATGAGAATGATCCCAGACACAGATATACCAAGTCATTTTTCTCTTAAGTAAAATATAGCTTGAATAAAAATAATGTGCTGTAGTTTCTATCTAATAAATACAAAAAGAGAATTCTTGTGAACATCTATTTACGACAAAATTCTATGCATTATTTTGCTCAAAAATAAAAAAAATGAAATAAGCCTTCAATGAAGTCTAAAACCTAAAAATTTACTTTTTAATAAAAAAAGTTTAGAAACAGTATTCCAATGTGTCATATATATATATGTATATGTATGTATATGTATATATATATATAAAAGTTATTCTAACCTCATTAAAATTTCAGGAAAACAATGAACTTATAACTCAAACATCTCCAGACTTCCATTTCACAAACCCAAATCCCTGAAAAGATGTAACTGCCACCCAAAACTAGACAGTGGCTGATACAGGCACATTTGAAAGCAAACTGCATCACCTATTTCAATTAAAATTAAAAAATACATTAACTTCATGAGTTTTAAAATTTAAGACTTTTTAAGCCATTTTTTTCAAACTTTCCCAAGATCAAAAAGAGAGATACAGAATATAATTTTATATAATAAAAAAATCATACTTTTGCAAATCCAAAAACAAGAGGTTCTAAAATCACTAATTCTATAACCTAAATTAATTTAGCACAAACTATTTGTTGGTCCCATTTAAAAATTTAATATGATATATTATGCATTTAAAAAACCCAACAAGTAACATTAGTACTATGGGTTACCGTATTTTACCTTATCTGTCTTGTTCTGAATTGATTCCAGTATGAGTTTCCATTATTAAATTAAAATGAAAGCCTAGGTCATGATTAGATTTTGAGATAAAAAACCAATTATTTAAAATTTAAGGATATTACATTAACAATTACAGAAGGAGCAGGTATAACTTACTGAAAGTCTAACATGTGTAAAAACCAGAGACACAGCTGATTTTATTCTAATCTTTATGATATAACTCTGTAGATAGCATTATCTTCATTTTGCACCTGAGAAAAATGGGGCTCACAAGTAACTTGCCCGTCATACAATAAGTATCAGGTCTAGGATTAGAATCCAGACCCATGTAATAACAAAGTGCATGACTTTTCCATTAATTATTTTTTGCCTAAGATCCAAAATAGAATCACTTTAATACGCCCCCTATCCATAACTAATGTTGAAAAAATTCAGCCCATTGACAAATATATATAAAGAAGACACCCTGTGATGACTTTAGTCTAAAAAGGTTCACTTTATAGGGTTGGTAAAGTAACTCAAGTACAGTGGTTACTTGCTTATTGGTAAAAACTAGCAAATACCAGAATTGCCATCACAATCACCATAGCCTCTTCCTAATGCACTGAGTAAGTATAACTCTCTTCCTACCCTGCTTGGCTTTAAAAGAATTTATTGTCTGGCTTGAAGATGAATATCCAGGTTAGTGAAGAAAGAATATTCTTGTTATATCATTCCTTTTTTTTTTTTTGGTAAGAAAAATCACTGTTTAATCCCCTCCAAGCACTTAATTCCACCGAGGGAAGATACCTATGATATATTTTTTATTAATTTGTTTTTGTTATAGATTTTTCTCATTTTTCCCCCATTGACAACCTCTTCCCCTTCCTCCTCGCCCCATCCCCAGCTTTGTTGTCTATGTTCACTGGTCATGCATATATGCATGTTAAGTTCTGCGGTTTATCTACCCCCTCCCTCCTCTGAGGCTTGTCATCTGTACCCCACCTCTATGTCTCTGGGTTAATTTTGCTCTCATCAGTTTGTTTAGTTCATTATATTCCACAAATAAGTGAGATCATGTGATATTTGTTTTTCTTTGCTTGGCTTGTTTCGCTTAGCATAATACTCCCCAGGTCCTTCCATGCCATCTCAAAGTGTTACATCATTCTTTAGAAATTAAAATTAGTGCCCCGGCCGGTTTGGCTCAGTGGTTGAAGCGTCGGCCTGCGGACCAGAGAGTCCTGGGGTTCGGTTCCCGCTAGGGGCACGTACCAAAATAAATTAAATAAATAAATAAATAAATAAATAAATAAATAAATAAATAAATAAATAAATAAAATTAGCATTTAGTTCTAAATTATATGTAGTTATAGGGTAAAAAGTCTATTTGTGACAAACCATATATTCCACTAAGCTATAAAATTTAAAATCCTGTTCAATCATCCTGCCCTTGTCATTATACATTATACATTGATGAACAACATTCTATTATTACAACTTAAATGAGAGTAACTTCATCAATGCACATATATTTTCTGCACATGTTAAAAAAAGAGGTCAGTCTGGCTGGTGTGGCTCAGTGGTTGAGCATTGACTCATGTACCAAGAGGTCGCCAGTTCGATTCCCAATCAGGACACATGCCCAGGTTGTGGGCCCAATCCCCAGTGGGTGGCATGCAGGAGGTGGCTGGCTAATCAATGTTCTCGCTCACTGATGTTTCTATATCTCTCTCCCTCTCCCTTCCACTCTCTCTAAAATCAATAAAGGAAAAAAAAAAAAAAAAGATCAGTTTAAATCTAGGGAACATAAATATTTTAATATGATAATTAAGAGACTCTCAAAGACCTTACATAGCAAATTTAGAAATTGAATAGGTCAAATTTTTGCCTTCCATTTTCTAAATCATTTTTTGTTTGCTTTTGCTGTACTTTTATTCTTAAAATACATAAAGCTTACAATACACTAGTACCTCTTTGTTCCCTAACTTTAGTTCATTTGATTGTTGATTATATCTTTTACATGTTTATGCTAGATGTACACACATAACACATATATACCTTTGTATAATCTGTAGGGGAAAGAAGAGTGTCTTGTTTTATATACCACTACCTACTGTCTAAAATAGTGCCAGGCCCCTAGCAGGTATGTAGCTAATGGCTGATGAGTTCATTTCTTTTAGGAACAGAACACTTAACTTTTGAAGTATTCAAAGATTAGGTATCAGAAGATCTATGAGTACATATTACATGGAAAACAGATTTTTAGATTGCAGTTTAGTGATTTTAAAGGCTAGAAAGAATTATATATACTTTTAAAAAATAATGTCTTTGTTTTTCTATTAATAAAATTAGGTCACATATTCTCAAAATGTTACTATAAAGCGGAATTGGAATACATGCACTGGATTCAGATGATCAAGTAAAATTATTACTACTGACAAATTTCACAGAAAAACATCCACTGTAGGAATGTTTTCTCAAATCCTCAGAAATGTCAGCTTTCTCTTAACTTTGAAAAATTCTCATTAAATTTTAGGAAGCAAAAAACTATCTTAAATACAGTTATTAGAAATAAATTTTATTTTGAAAAAAGCACATATTACTAATTAAAGTATAAAAACATACTAAAGTGTACCAGTGAAGTTAATGGAAGGAAAAAAACCAAACCCATATTTATATCAGGCTGTAATATAAAAATCCTAAGCACTGAAAATCCTATTCAGTGTTGGACCCAAAAGGTAGTTAGGCCGAAAAAATTCTTAAATTTGTAAGTCTTTAGTTTGAGAAAGCTATTGAAATAGGGCAGCCTTCATCACCTAAAAATTCTCTGTGGGTGACATTATTTTTCAAATTTTACTCATTAAGATTATACACACTATCTAAATTACCACAATTTAAAATTAGTGGAATACTGAACAATTCCAGCTAATTCACACAGGACAGACCACATAGCCTGCTGAAAAGTCAAGATTATCTAAAAGAGGAGAATAAGCAAAAAGTGTCAAAAGTTTTAGAACTCAAGAGTCAGAATTTTCAGTGGAAGAAATAATTCTGATTTAAATAATCTAATCCCTTACTTAATATTACAACTCTTAATTTCTCTAAAAGTATTAAGTGATTGCAAAAGAGAAAGGAAGAACCTCATATACAAGATATTCTGAATGGAGACCTGACTATGGTCGAATCAAGCCAATACTTTTCAAGATATCAAGCCATTATTTATAATACTAATTCATATTGCAGGCTTCTTATAATGAATTGAAGCTATTTAATGCATATTCTTTACTTGTGAATTGTAATCCACACCTACTTTACAGATGAGGGCTTTGAAATTAACTTGGAACTTGGCACTTTAATGAAGTTTAGGTAGTATAATGAAATCTGTTAATACATATAACTATGAATGAAACTAACTTCTTAATTCCTAATCCAGTTTCTAGGAAAACAGTAAAAATAGCTTAAGAAAACAGAAGTCATTCCAAAAGTTTATTCTGAGAATATTACTATTTGATAGAAACCAGTAATATAGTAGTACTGCTTGCTTTCATCACTATGAAAATAATTATGTTGAAGAGTTATCAGTGCAAGTGGCCAGCAAATTATTTCAAGAGAGATTTCTTAAGAAATAATTTAATGGTATTTCCCAAATTTTATTTTCCTACTTCACTGCTAATTTTTTTTTTTTTTTATCCTCACCCGAGGACATTTTTCCATTTTTTGTACAGATAGAGTGGGAGGGAGAGAGAGGAAGAGAGAGAGAGAGAGAGAGAGAGAGAGAGAGCGAGAGAGAGAGAGAGAGAGGAAGAGAGGGAGAGAAACATCGATGTGAAAGGGACACATCGAGTGGCTGCCACCGCACAACCAACCAGGGCTGGGGACAAACTGCAACCGAGGTACGCGCCCTTAGCAGGAACTGAACCGGGGTCTCTCTGGACTGCAGGCCTATGCTCTAACCGCTAATCCAAACCGGCCAGGACTAAAAATTTTTTATTAAAAATGGTTGAGGAGTGCAAAGTGGGAGCCAATATCCAGTGATTTACAACTTTATAGCTTTTGCACATCTGAGAAATGAGTGCTCAGATGAATTTTACCTTCCGCCAACATGTTGTTATAAGAATTGTGGGTACACCTGTCTTAATTGTTTTCTGTATCTTGAAAAAGTATTTTCCACATTTTAAATGTTTTATATTAGAGAATTTTTTAATGCACTCTTGTCAAATATATACATATAGTACCAATTTTATCTTTTTTGTTTTAGATGTAAGAGCATGCTCATCATATGTTAGGTACTTACATAAATTGTTACATTATTTTTTCTTATGTAATACCTTTTTGTTTATGTGGTTCAAAAATATCCTTTAAACTCTTAAAAAAAAGGTTGAGGAAAACCTCAACTATACAGAAGAAATAAAATTGGGTAAAATTATTACTTTGCGAATGTGTACATACACACAATACAAACAAAATATTCTTCAAAAATTACATTTATCTGATTAAGGAATTCCTTTAGTGAGAGAATAAAGGGGCCCTATTAATGTTTAACAGGGGCTCTATTAAGTTGTTTCCTGAATATTTAACTTTATGGGCAGAACTTAGTTCTATAGAAAACTCTTTTTTTTTTCACATAAGTTGACTTCTTCACATATACTGAACTAAAATTTATCTAAAATTACACACCTATCTACTTCAAACATCCATCCCTTTTTTGCATACACTAAATTTGGAATAATTTGCAATGATTTTGAGCAAAAGCATCAAAATGAGTGGAAAAAATTTCAGTTATTTCCTAACAGAATTTTTTGTCCTCCAACGACACTTTTTCTCTCCTGTAGAATCATCTGAGAGTTTCTCAAAGTATGGCTCCAGATAAGGACCAGCATCATCATTAGCATCACTTGGAAACTGGTTAGAAATGAAAATTCTCAGGTACCTTCCACAAATTTATTAAATCAGAAAAAATGGAGGTATGCCCTCCAGGTGTAAAGATCTCCAGGTAATTTTGATGTAAGCTAAAATTCGAGAACCACTGACCTAACCTAACAACAATCAATTATCATTTTCCATCTTTGGGGTGAAAAAAGTAGTAAGCTGAAATAACGATGATTTCATAGAAACAACAGCAACAAGCTACTGCAACTACTCTCATGTATCAAATACTCAATATTTGCCAAGCACTACACTTAGTGTAAATGTGCTTGTGTCTAATCTCATCTAAACATCATGATAATCTAGAGACAAGTATTTTGATTTAAAAGATAAGGAAATTACTCAAGGTGAAAGCATAAATAGCAGAAACAGGAGTTAAATTTAAATCCATGACAAAAAGACTAACTAGGGCTTTCCATTACACTATTCACTATTACTTCTTAAAGAACAGGTAATATACACAATGTCTCATGTGCTATTTTTTTTATTTTTTTATCCTCACCTGAGGACATTTTTTTCCATTTTTTGTTCAGATAGAGTGGAAGGGAGAGAGAGAGAAACATCTACATGAAAGGGACACATTGAGTGGCTGCAACCTGCACGATCAAACCAGGGCTGGGGACAAACTGCAACCGGGGTACATGCCCTCAGTGGGAACCGAACCCGGGTCTCTCCGGACCGCAGGTCGATGCTCTAACTGCTGAGCCAAACCCACTATGGTATATGGACTTGCTCTGAGAAGTAATGACATTTACTATTGAAAAACACCCAAAAATAGCCCTGGCCGGTTTGGCTCAGCGGTTAGAGCGCCCACCTGCGGTCCGGAGAGACCCGGGTTCGGTTCCCGCTAAGGGCATGTACCTTGGTTGCAGTTTGTCCCCGGCCCTGGTTGGTCGTGCGGGTGGCAGCCACTCGATGTGTCCCTTTCACATCGATGTTTCTCTCTCTCTTTCTTCCTCTCTCTCTCTCCCACTCTGTACAAAAAATGGAAAAATGTCCTCGGGTGAGGATAAAAAAAAAAGAAAAACACCCAAAAATAATAATTTTAAAAAGTAATCTCTTGTTTTGGTTTTGTGTTGGGCTCATCTTTTCCTATTTCTTTTTAAGTTTTACCTAAAATCTTATAATGTAAAACACTTTTTTGTGATAAATATCTGGTAAGCATTTTACATTGTCCTTTTTTTTTTTTTTTTTCCTGCGTATATCTTGAGATAGAGCAGGAGGGAGAGATGGAGGAGAGAGAGAGAGAAACAGCGACGTGAGAGGGGCCAAGGATAAACTGCAACCAAGGTACGTGCCCTCAGAGGAGACTCTCTGGTCTGCAGGCATGCTCTAACCGTTGAGCCAAACCGGTCAGGGCTACATTGTCTTCTTAAAATGTTTTACTAGTCCTATGAAAGGGTAAAACAGTCTTCTTAAAATGTTGTACCCTTTCATAGGACTAGTAAAACTGACTCAAAAGAAAAAAAAAGCCTAAACCAACAACTAAAATATCCAATGAACTGTCTCCTGTTTCAAAACTTAAGCATCTTTTTCTCAATGAGTTCAAGTTTTTTAAAAAAAACCTGTATCTGTTTATATACTGGTTTTAGGAAATTCTCATCCTCAATTTAAAGTGATAATATAAGACTACATGACTGGGATTGCACAAGAGTATCTTTATTTTGCAACTAGGTAGAAACAAAAATATTTAAAATGTTATCAAGGCCTTTGAAAAATTTATAAAATTTCCTACTAAATTCAATCATTTTTCTAACTGTGGGTGAAATGAACTGTTTCTGCATACTCTCCAAGAGTGAAATCAAGCCAAGGAGGTAGAGACAAAAGACTTAGCAAATAGCTGGTACATTACTGAAATTAATGTGTAAGCACACTAAAAGAGATCACTTCTTTTTAAAATCTAGATTTATACATTTACACATTTGCACATGAAACAAATATATACCTTAGCTACTTTCCTCCAGTTAAGACAGTCAAAGAAGTAATATGTTCCCCTCTCATATGTATTGGTTTTCATTGTTGGTTCCATGCCTGGTGCCCTGGTAATCCATACTCGTTCTTCTTTGTGGTATCTCCAATCACGGTTAAAACTTCAATTTTTAAGAGAAAAAGACAATTAATTTTTTCCTGTGGTTCACATTTTATAAAACTTTTCTCAGAAAATAATTACACATAAAATACAAAAATATGAATGCTTATTTGTCCTGATTTTTATTGTTATTAAATACGACCCTAGTGAAGTAAATACAGAAAAATAATTTGTCCAAACCCCACATCTTTACTTAGCTGAAGAAACCTTTAATGCAAACAAAATGAGATCTTAAAAGCGCTATGAGCGATGTGATAAAAACTTAGGTAGACAAAATAAAGATACACTGTGTTCCAGAAACTTCACTTCTTTCTTTTTCTTCTTAACATTCAATAGAAATTGAGATATCTATTAAAACAAACAAAAACCCCAACTACTTGAATTATTTTGTATGGAACTAAATACAATATGTATTTGAATTAACTATTTAAATGCACATAAAACCTCCACGTAAACAAATACCTTTCTACCAATACCATGAGGTAGACATAAGATTTGAGACAAAACTGCCAGTGATGGATGGATGAATGAATGAATTTATTTACTTATAAATTAAAAGGAACAGTTAGCAATTACTATCTTACAAAAAATGTGAAAAGAGCATGGGAAAAAAACAAATTCTCAGTTGAGAAATAAAAAATTTATTATCACCATAGTGAAATGTTACATTTAAGTATCTGATCCAAGGCCATTTATAGAAATAGTATAAGGAATATTATAAAATACTTAAATCTGTAAAAAGGTCTCCTAATCATAACATCAGAAATTTTTAGTAACTCACTCTATAGTAAACATGATTAGAATGACTATTATGTTACCAACTGGACATAATGAGAAACAACACAAACTTTTTATTCTTAGGACATCAGGTAAAAACAGAAATGCTCAGGGAGAAAACAAAACCATATCCATGGACCAACTTCTTGACACTAATTTAAGTTGACCAGTAGGCTCCTGATAATGAATGTGGACTTTATTTTATCAATACTTCAAAACATACAAGAAATATGTATAGTAACTTGTACGTATAATATTTAAAAGATGTTTATTAAATGATGAAATTCACTGTCATTAACATATGTGGTTCCACAAGGAGTAAGATGAACCACAGTTATGAACCATATCTTATACTTCATATATTTATAAAAATTAGATTCACCATGATTCAACTCAATTCTGTCTTTAGGCTTCTTACAAACTTAGGGTTAAGTTTAAAATTTTTTTTATGTACACAGTGATTATGAAGCCTTGAGTAATCTAAAGTTTCAATCTAAACTAACTTTATTTTACTAAATGTAAAAATAAATTTCTTGATAGAGAAATATTTCCACTTTAAAAACAAAAGACATAAACTACAGCCATCATAATTTTTTAAGGAGCTTTCAGAATAAACAATATTCACTATAATACAAAAGTGTTTAAAAATACTTTGAACATACAGCTCTACTGCAGCTAGAAGTTGTAATACGTCTCCTCCATTCATGTAATAGAGATAGAAGAGAAGGTCTTCTCCGTATCGACCAAGTTTTATTGCAGCCAGCTGGAAAAGAGAAATAAATTATTCTGAAATGCAAAACAAGTCTGAAAATCCTACCACATAACTGCTAACACTAAAGTAAAAAATAGAAAGAGAAACAGAAACTCTTCTCTTTGTACCAGATAACTGCTATTACATGATTATACAAGTAGTTACAATTCTAAAGGGGAGTTTCATCGTTTAGGGTAATTTTACCATTTAAATGACAAAATTCATTTAACAATTATTCTGGTACATCTGTTTTATGTACTATTAGAAAAAAGGCTAACTAAAAACTTCCAATCAAGTTCAAATGCTGAATGTCTTGTTTGAGGGATTTTTTATTTATTCAATGTGGGAGTAATAGTGAAACACTATGCTCAGAAATGCAGGACTTATATTCAAGACCTAGATCCACTACTTACTAATATACTATTTCCAAGTAATTTAATGTCTCTAAATTTCAATTATAAAATATAGACAATTACATCTTATAAGGGTTACTAAGAATTAAAATGAAATTAACTAAGTGTATGTGCACACACCTTGTAGAGTGTCTTGACACATAGAAGAAGACTTACAGGAAATGTTGAATCTACTTCTGACAGTGATTCACAAATCTGTTGGTTATGTATATTTAGCAAATCATAGATTAAGTACAAAAATCATAAAGAGACTGCTCTTTATTTTGTTTAAATGAATGACTAAAATATGATTGCTTAACATGTCCCTCCAGAAAGCAAAAACATAATAAATACCCACCAAACTATAAAACATGAGTTCAACAGTCTCCAATTCTCATATTAATATAAATCTTTTTTAAATGCCCACCAAAATAAAAATACTTTTATCTCTTTACTTAATCCTGTATCTAAATATTTACTTAACTGTTACACATTCTCTAAATATAATTTTTTCTATCTATTCATATTACCCCCATTCAAGTAGCAGTCCCAAATGTGTCAAATCCTCCCAAGCCAGGATTTCTTAAATTGGCATGAGAAAGGAGTCTGAAACCCTTAAGTATTTGAAGCAAAAGAGCTCTACAGTGGAGGTGGCAGCAAATCACACAATCCAAAAATAGCAAAAACTAGCTCTAACTTTCTTATACTTGTCTTCCACCTACTCAAGTATTAAGACATACTGAGAAATATATAGCTTTACTTGCCTGTCCACATCAAAATTGATTTGACTACACAATTACATGGCACAGATGCAGAACACTGATATTTACATTAAACATTTATACACATGACTAACACAAATATATAATTTAAAAATATTATGTCCTTTCACGAGGCCAAAAATCTAGATACCATTTCTAACAAAAATCAAGTCTTAGTTCCTATTCCTAAAATAAGCATTTACTACTTTCTTTCAACAAATTAAAGCTGCAATTTGTTAACAGATGCTTTATAACTAGAATTTTAGGTGATTCAAAAATAGAAAAAAAATACAGAAAAAATGCCAAAAGTCATAAACAGTTTAAAAATATATAATATATAGTTCCAATAAAAACACTATCTGTAATATATGTAAAGAAAAATCTTTCTTAATGATAAGGGCATATAATTAGAACATCACAAGGAATTTACTAAATATTCCAAGTTAGTTTATTGCCATCAACTGTGGTTATGGTTGCACCTGTTATTAATAACTATATGCAATATTTCACTTGTCATAACATTGTTTTGTTTTTAAAATATTTAAAAAATATAACCCAGAACCACATTAAAATATTGTTTACAAACAAAAGTAGAAATAAAATTGTTATATATAACAGAATGAACATATGAAAGCATACCTGAAACCACTGCTAATTATTTCAAAATAATATGCTGTCTGAACTGAAAAACAGTGCCTGAAAAATAGACAAATTCATGCTGACTGTGTAGAAAAATAAACTACACTCACCTTATCCCTAATGTGAATGTTCGTTAAGTACTCAGATGGAACATGGAAGTCTAGATAATAAAATAAAAAAAGCCTTATTAACTGATTCTCAGTTACAAATATATTTTTTAAAGGTCTGAACACAAATATAATCTCCTACCTATGTCTTGAGGTCGACAAGGTGAAGATGCCCAAGGTGATGCAAATTTGGGGTAGAGATTTCTGAATAAAGGGGGGAAAAAAACACTCTGAAGTCCAGGACAGAAAAAATGATTTCTAATTTTAGTTCAGGAAATCAGGAAAAACAGTAACTTCAAAAACATTAACTTTTTACTTCTAATTTCCTTTCTTGGGTTTACTATGACTTATATACAGCAGGAAACTGAAACAAGGTTTTATAAATACAGGGGTTGGAAAAAGTAGTTTACAGTTGCACTGTGACATTCTTTTGAGTTAATAAAGCTATTGTAATAACCCATATGTCTTTTTCCACATGAGCAACTATAAACCCATTTTGTCCTTCCCTATATATATAGGTATCTATATATATCTATATCTATGCTTTGAATTCATTAATACCATGCCCCCAAGAAAAAATACTTTCCCATTTATATAGCCAGAAAAAAAAAAACCCCAGTAATTATTAAAAAGCAAAAGTTCAAATTATTCAAATATTTACTGAATGCTCATTATATGCCTGGAATACATCAACAAACAAAGCAAAGATCACTGACAAAAATGAAACTTACTTTCTGGGTCAGGATGGTGGATTGGAGGGAAACAGTCAAAAATAATTTGCATAATATATAATATTCCATGTTAGTGAAAGGGCAGAGAGGGGAGAATAGTTGAATAATTAAATAGGGTAGTCAGAGGTTAGGTGTCATTTAAAAGGTCAGATTTGAACAAAGACTTGAAGAATGTAAAGAAATTAATCATATCATTTATCTGGTAAAGACTATTCTAGTCTGAGGAAACTGCTAGAACTACTAAGGCAGCAATATGGCTGACATATCTGAGGTACAGCAAGAAGACCAGTGAAGCTGGGACAGAGTGAACAAAAGGAGAAGCTGTTGGAGAGAGACACACATCGGGCCTATTGATAGTAGGAGGCCTGTAAAGATTTTGGGTTTTTAATCATAATGAAACTGTAAACCCATACTGGATATTGAACAGAAGATTAACTTATTTAAAAAAATTGTCCTGGCTGCTGTATGAAGAGATTGCGAGAGGCACAGGGAGAATGAGACATACCTAGTGACTGGCTGATGGAATAATCCAGGCAAGAGAGGATGGTGATTCAAACCAGGCTGGTAGCAGTTAAAAGTAGTGAGAAGCATTGCAGCAATGATTCCACTATGCCAAATGTTGCTGATAGGTCAAAAGGGGTAAATTCCTGGAAGCGACCACTGAATTTAACATAGTGGTCATTTAATGACCTTGACAAGAGCAATTTTAGTATAGCAGGAACAAAATCTTAACTGAAATGGTTTTAACAGAGAACAGGAGAAGACAAATGGGATTTATAGATAGCTCTTTTGAAGAATTTTGCTTCAAGTAGAATATAAAAATGGCATGCATTAGATCAAGAAGTACTTAAACATGAAAGAAGTCACAGTATGTGTGTATGCTGATAGAAAATAATCCAAGTGCAAAAAATTGGAAAAATGGATCAACTATAGCCACAGTCTGAAAGAGTAAGTGGGGGTGCACAAGGTAGTAAATAGATTTGGTGGAAGGACTACGCTGACATTCTCTTCTGATTGCTTCCATCTTTCTTTAATATTTCCATTGACATTTTTTCTTTTTGAGAGAGAGAAGGGAGAGACAGAACCATCATGTAAGAAACATTGATTGGCTGCCTCCTGCATGGCCCCCACATGCCCGAAACCTGGGTATGTGCCCTAACCGGGAATTGGACCAGGACCTCTCAGTCCACGGGACAACGTTTAATCCACTGAGCTACACCGGCCAGGCTCTTCCATCTTTCTTAATAAAGTAGGAATAAAAAATCAAAGCCATCATCTGAGAGTAAAGACAGGAGTTTGAACAGGTGATAAAGTAGCTGCACAGGAGAGCAAAAGAATGAACAGACTACACATGTCAGTTATGATTATGGTTGGCAGAATTAAGGTCCTACTTCTGTGATTCATGGCCATAAATCTAAAGTGAAACCAAGCAGTGAAGTTGTGTGTTTTTCTCCTGCCAGGCTCAGTATCATAGGTCAAAAATAGAATAGGCAGAGGTATAACCATGATTTAGTTTCTGTCATGAAAGTACGACAAAGCAGGAGGTGGGCAAAGTAGTCAAGGGTTATAAGTAGATGAGCAGTATAACTGACCACAGAATTTAACTGAATAAGAAGGAAATAAGGGAAAGAGACAGGGATGTTTAGGAACAACGAAAAGGTGAAAGAATGGATTGAAGGTCTCAAAAGAGTCAAATAATTACAGAAGCCAGTACTAGACAGAGAGAAAAAATAGAAAGTGGCATGGGAGCAAAGACCTAAAATTACAGAGAAACTAAAGTTACTAGTAATGGCAGGGTAAAAGGATGACTAAAAAGGTGAGTAGGTGAGGTATGGTAGAGGGTAAGATTTCTGGAGGAGAGAAATTCAAGGAGCCAAGATGTCAGGATTTGGAAAGATCATATATATGTTGAAACTGCCAAATTATAAAAGGAATAATATTGTAAAGTGACAGTGATACAGCAGCAAATATGAGAGGGAATGATCCAAGATGAGTCAGTAGACAACAGCAACAATCAGTGGCAGCAGGTGATATAATCTGACATGAAATTAAAAACTGAAAAGTTTGCAGAGAGGTCTTTATGTACAAATGTGGAAGAAAAAAACTTACTCAGGAGAGTTCAGATTGAGGCCTAAAGTTGTTAAATCACTTCCTAACGCAAGATGTACCATTCCTGGGTCTGTCTCTGCTGCCCTGATAAACGTTAACAAGCCAATCATTCCAAATTGGTCCGTCACCATCCCTTGAGGAATGTTAGTAACCCGACCTGGATAAGAAGAACAGAGTCATTTTTATCTTTGATGAGAAGTTTTAAAAAAATAAATTCTATAATATCACTGACATATTTTATGGAATCCCACCATCAGGTAACACCTGGATCCCTTTTTTCTGCTGGTTATTATTTTGTGTTGTTGAACTTTTATCTCCAGGGAATTTGGGTCCATCTGTACTTGAAGTTGTCTTGCCAGATGTATTCAAATTCTAACATAAAAAAAATTAAATGTAACATTAAAATTTGTTAAGAAAATTTCAAATTCACATATTGGTACCTTTCTATTCATTCTTTATTATATTTAAATTGGTAGTCAATTATTACCTGTTTTCAAGTGCTACATTAGTTTTGTTTCTACAACTGTCCCACAGTATACAAATAAACCCTATATAATACACAGTTGAACATTTAAAGGACAAAGAATATATGAAAAGTATTCTTATTTATCTCAGATTTTCAGTCACAGACAAAATACATTAACTATCTCAGGACTCTGTGCTTTGGGATACACTTGGAATTTACAACTCTTCAATACTCTCATTTAAAAGAGAAACTAAATACCTAAATATCACCACAAAAACTTCCAAGATAAGTCAGAACATATGCACTTCTAAAATTCATATGTAACTCTTACCCAATGTTCTTCTTTATCATATTTTAACAATATACAAACTCCCATCAAAAAAAAAAAAAAAAAGCTATTTTCAGTGAAATGTGGAAGAAATAAACATATTCGTTAAGTCAGAAAGAGGAAGCTGAGTTGGCTGAATCAACACAGGAATAAAAATGTGTATAAAGATTCTTCAAGGAGAAAACTTACTCAAGAAAAACACAGCTCCTTAGAAGGCTATAATATCAAACTTCATGGGATCCAGCTGACAGGGACTACAATAAAAGTCTAAATTAACTCTGAGAAGTTCAACAGAAATTTGCAAACCTATATGAAATAGGAAAAAAATAGGCTATCTTCTAAGTTATAAAGGTTTTCCACATTCTTCAGTTAGATTATTACGAATATTCAAGATAAACAATTTTGTAATAGTATTTAGTAAGTCCTTAATACAGTCTATGAAACTGTTAATACAAGAGAAGTCTGAGGGGAAAAAACTACATCACTCACATACATAATTCTCAATTACTTACAGATTTACTGTCATCATTACTTGATGTTGGATCTTTATAGCTGGAACCAGGTAATGCTGGAAAATCTTCGTTGTGTATTGAGAAGTCCTGGGATTGCTCATTTGCTGGTTTTGTTACCATTCCAACTACATAATGAAAATAATCCGGAGATTGCAATTGATATTTATAATATTTTGCTAAAAATTATAAAAAGTTAACTTCCCTCATAATATACCAAAAAAATTTGTATTTTGCTCTGAAAGCATACTTCAAAAAAATTAGTATTCCGGATAACAATAAAGAACTAAATTTTTATATATTAATAATTCAATATACAAAATAATATAAGGGCAATAGTGCTTAAACATAATTTGATATCGGTAATAATTAACATTTTTTGTTAAAAAGCTTGCTTTATTTTAATATTTGACTAGCTATTATAAACACCAATTGTCAAATACAAATGAACAAAATAAATTTTAAAAGAACATGTCAGTATTCTACTTGAAAGTGACTTACAGAGTGAGCAAATTGCAATCAATTATTAAACAACTCCATATTATTTCAGATTTTCTTGGACTCCATGTAATAGATGTAAAACATGCAAGAACTGGGAAGTAATCCTCCCACTATACTTGGCATTAGTCAGGCCCTTATTGGAGAACAATATCCAGTTTGGGGCTCCACAATTCAAGAACGATATGGAGAAACTAGAGATGGTCCAAGAAGAGCAACAGGAATGATTAAAGGGATGAAAAAATGGACCTATGAGGAAAGGTTAAAAACATTAGAGTCTGAACTGAGAATCAAGTAGCTAGGTACTCAACTTCCAGGGCAGATCGTTTTTTGTTATTTTTAGAAGAGTGATTTGGAAACTTCAGAATATGAACAATAAAATTTTCCCTTCTTCATATATTGTTATTTGTATTCATATTCTGGAAGGCATGGAAATCCTTCTAGGTTGAAAATGGGGGAAAAAAAAGTTGTAAGAGTTGTAAGTCCACTGTTTTCTGCTACTGGTCTCTATCAGGTTCTCCCAAAAAGAAACAACCATGTGCAAAGAATAAAAAGAATAAGGCTACACTGCAGTTACATAATTTTCATGTCTAAATTGTTACTTCACATGTTTCTACAACTCTCTCATAGTATACAAATAAATCTGTATTATATGCATTTGAACATTTAAAAGACAAGGAATATATGGAAAATATTTAGCACCCCTCTTCTTTTCACTTAGCATCTATTAGCCAAATTTCTTATTAGAGACAGTAAAATGGGGTATTTTAATGGTGACTGAGAGTGTACATAAACTATACATTCCCCACAAGTGGTGCTTCTCAACAGGAGGCAATTTTTCCCCCATACATTTGTCAGTTATGGAGACATCTATGGCTGTTACAATGGGGGAAGGGTAAGAGCTAAGGGATGCTACTGGCATCCAGTAGGCAGAGGCCAGGGATGTTGCTAAACAGTCTGTAATGTCCAGGACAGCCCCTCATTTACAAGGAATTATCTGACCCAAATGTGAATGGTGTGGAAGTTAAGAGAATGGTGTAGAAGTTAAAAAACTCACTTGGGAAAAAAATCTTTACTGTATGGTCAGTCATTATTAATCACTAGGAATATGTTCTTTAAAAAAAAAATGTGTGATGAATTAATAAAAGGCAGATTACAAAAGAATCATTAAAGTGTATCAAGGTAGAACTGGCAGAAGAAAGTAACTTCTGAATACCAATGAGGACTTCCTTTTAGGGGTTTCTGTACAAACTAAGTTTTCCCATTTAACTTTACTATGATGGTATTCTGGGAGACAAAAGCACTTTGGGTATATCAACTCTGACAAATTATACTAGTCTGATTAGAAAATATACACACGTGTCTATGTACTTGCAATGGAAAGTTTCCATTGATCATCATTGAAAAGCTTAATTACCGTAAGGAGCTCTTCCAGCCAAGGGGTTTATTAATGGAGTTGGGTTACCACTTCCTTCCCTTCTGTTTCGGTCTGCTAATGCTGGAAAATCTGAAAGGTCCAATCCTGTCACATTTTCGCTTCCATCTAAATAAGAAGAAGGAAAATTAATTATTGATTCAATCAACACTTTAAAGAAATTATTAAAGACTCACCATAATTTAATTTGAAATGACAGTGCCTTCTTCCTAAATAATGCACAGAACTGTACTGGGTATATGCAGGTGCACAATAAATACTTTTGGATTGATTTCACATAAAAGAATTTCATGAACAATTCACTACAACAAAATATAACTAGCATAATAAAAAATTCAAATCTTAAGAGACTTAAGGTAGAATGTGAAATAAGGTGGTACTCTAAAGTTATATAGCTTGTTAGCTAGCAAGAAAGATATCATTGTGATATAACTGCTCGGAGCTTCAGTTATACGCAGGTGTGAGAATGACAGTGTCTCATACAAATGGCCAGAATAGTATCTGGCACAGGCAGTGAAAACAGAAACCCTATGGACTTCTCTCCTGTGGACTACCGGTTTCATCACAAAGGTGTGTGTGTGTATGCATTTTGCAGTTGGGGTATAGCAAGGTAGCATAATTAGGGTTCCCATGTCTGCTGAATGCCTGGGAAGTATGATATAAAGGGAATATGATACAAAGACCAAAAGTCTATATTACCTATTACACAGTAGGCGCTCAATAAATATATAGTAAATAAAATTTATGTTCATTTTTAATTTTTAAAAACAGTTCCCTTCCTTTTAAAAATAAAAATTTAACTAAACATTTATACTTTGCCTATTTTAATCACTCTCTTGGTTTCTTAACTTTTATTATTCTATAATTGTTACAATCTTGTCTTCCTAATTTTTAAAGAATTAAATTTTCTGCCTTAGTTTTAGCATGCAATATAGCTTTTCTTTCATCTAATGTTTTATGGCCATTTTTACTTTATTTTGCCTTTTCTCCAGTTATTTTTAATTTTTCTCCAAGTTTCATAATAAAAAGATTCTTTTTTACACATAAAACTAGATTAAAAGTTCGTAAGGGTTAAATGCCAAAATCAGTATTAAAACTATTAAGAAAAATTTGTAAATGCTCCACATAATTTTTAAGATTTCTTCATTCTGGGTCTCACTAGCCAGAATACCATACCACCCAACCTAATTTAGACTGTGGTAAAAGGCTGAAGATAGAAAAAGTTCTTGAAGCAAAGAAGATTCTGAGGCATAAACAAACATTAAGTTAATGTTTAGGAACCTCTAGGTATTAAGAAAATAATACTGATGCTGTAGCACTATGCTATTACTATGCCAAGTGAAAAAAATTTATTTAATATTTTTCAACTCTTCACTGAATTAAATCCTATTCCTGTCAAATTATCACTAAATTAAATTCTACCAATTTAGCATAAAAGAAATCCTGTAATATTTTAAGACCAGTATGTTGAATTGCTTTATACTTCAAAGTTCTACCATAGTTTTAATAGGGTACTAGCTCCAGAATAAGCTTACCTGTTCCATTAAAAATGTTACTTGATAAGGAGTTATTCATTCCAAATGCCTGATTCCTGTTCATTCCAAATCCAGACATACTGGGTACACAGAAAATAATTTTAGATATACAGTAAGAACACTAACTTTCAGATGAAGATAAACAAAAGGTCTCCTCATATAAAACATGTTTTAAAACAAATACTAATTTTGTTTTCTGAGTTTAATTATTAAATTTTTAAATTTCCCTAAGACCTTCCTTGAACCAAACATCTTACACAGATGAATTTAAAAACAGAATTTTTATGTGAGTCTTGAGTTTAGTCTTCTTGGAGAGTCAACTTACTGGATATACTGGCAGAACTAACTTCAAAACTAAATAGTTTAGTATAAGACCATTGTTCCTGAATACTTTTCTTCCACTACTGGTAAATGATATTACTATTACTGTCCATAAAATATCTTTTTTCATACAGTCTGTCTTTCTCAACTAGAATATAAATTCCCCATGAACAATGTCCATGTTATATTCAATTTTGCATCCTCTATCCTTAGTGTTAAGAAGGATATAACAAGCACTCAGTAAATGTTTAGTTGACCTGAATTAAATGGTGCTTTTCTTTAGCTGAATTCAGTGCTCCAAAACACATTATTCTTATTTAAGTACAGTTTATCTTTCAGCCACTTAAAAGAAAAAAAAATATATTCCTATAGTGCACAAAATTCTAAAAATTAATACACAATTGGTACTTGGTAAATAGTTCCAAAGCCTTCTCTTTTTTGCACAAGCCTAAGCATAGGAAAACAAATCAAGGCCAGAAGTAATTAAGAATTTCAAAAAGAGCCTGGCCAGTGTGGCTCAGTGGTTGAGCATCAACCCATGCACCAAGAGGTCGCTGGTTTGATTCCTGGTCAAGGCACATGCCCAGGGTGGGCCCAATCCCCAGTGGGAGGCAAGCAGGAGGCGGCCAATTTATGTTCTCTCTCACTGATGTTTCTCTCTCTCCCTCTTCCATCCTCTCTCCCTCTCTAAAAATCAATAAAGAAAAAAAAATTTTTTTTAAATAAAAATTTCAAAAAGAATTAATGTCAATTCTACAATGAAGTATAAATCTTTATCATCAAATAATTTTCATCATAAAAAAAGTGTATCAGTGTTCTGAGCAGAATTAAACTTTTTGAAGATAACAGGGTTTTTTTGGCCTATATCTATAAAACTATGACCAAACAATATTTTCTTAAAATATGCAGCTGTGCAACAATACTTTAAAGAAGAGTAGGAAACTCAATAGAAATTTTTGTTTAATAGCATATTAGAATTGATGATATAGGTCCCCTCAAACACTGAATAAGTGCTAAGAGATGAAAACATTCTATAATACATACAACTTCTAATAGTAATAAGCAGGGTTTTGGAGACCTTAGTTCCATTGACAATTTATAAATAAATTTTTTTTAAATAATTAAACTGTGAAAAAATATGGAAAAGCAAAAGTTTAAATATATATTCAATGAACAATACTGCAAGAATAAGGAAAGACATGATAAAGCCCAAGAAGTATTACATGATTAGGAAGCTGCCAAGGAGATGACAATCTTGATAATTCTTTACAAATAATAACTTTTAAAAATTAAAAGAGCAGTATGATTATAAAAGAAATGCTCTTTGGCCTAAGTAAAAGTAAGAATTGAACCTTATGAGATGAAGATTAAAAAGAAAATGTGCTAATAACCTATTTTAATTCAGATTTTACAAGTACTAGATAAAAGAAAGTGAAACTCAGTATGATAATATCAACTAGATCAAGGTCCTCTTTTCCCCACCGAGTTCCCCATTTTAAAAATATTGACAAACGTAAATGCTATCTTTGCAAGAAAGAAAGCCTTATATTGTAGCTATAACTTTCATATAAATTATATGAACACCTAAAAAACACTAACATAATGAATAACTGGTCTTTGTATTGTTATTATTTGCATAATAGTATATGCAATGGATAGTGCAAAAAGGCATGAAAAAGTACAAAAGCTCATCTTTTTGTTTTAAATCCCAGGACATGACAATTTTCAACTAAAAAATGTAGTCAGAAAAAGCCTTTGGTCAGTAAGTCTCCAAAGTAAGTACAAAACTGAATTTCAGTTGAAAGGGTACTTAACCAAAGTGTAAGTGAAGCAAGGAAGTAATAATCAAATATGCCTATTCATAAGTCTAAAATTCTTAATGCACAGGTGACCAGCCTTTTTTAATAGAGGAAAAACATATCAACAAAAATTTGCCTGGTGGCAACGTAAGAACAACCTTCTTTTTATAGCAACAATAAAAAGCTATATAATATGCTTTCTAAAATCAAATTGATTTTCAAAAGAATATGTCTTTAGTTTGGAGAGGTTAAAGTTGTGATGTGTAACAGAAAGAGAATCTCCCTGGTCATAAATATATTATGAAACACACTTATGAGACAGAAGCCACAACTCAAGAACAGAATGTTGAATATGAAAAGGCAAATTTAAAAATACCCAGAAAGACAATTATACACAGTATCAATAAACATCTTACCTGTTCACAGTAAAAGGCTGTCGAGAAGGCTGCTGCTTTGGCATACATATTATGCTTGGCGAGCTTCTGTTGGGGCTACCTAACCCTGAACTGCTCATGCTATTTGTCCTGCTAGGAATTCCAATGCCCTGACCAACCTGGGAGTGGTTCATCATATTCCTAGGATTCATAGGCAAAATACCCCTGAAAAAGAAGTCCATTATACTAAATAAGCTTTCTGCAATTACTCATTAAAATTCTCTGTAAATAGTCAATTGACCTAATCCTAGAATTTTACATATACTTTCAAAATGCATTGCTAATTATTATTAACTTCTTTTGTCCAGTCATTCTACTCTTAAAAATAAAAACCAAAGTAAACAAATCAACAAGAAATTATAGTGGAAATAATATATGATGATATCTAAAATGAGAGAACTATTATTGTGACTATGACATAAAATAATACAAACGTACCTCACACAAATATTAGAATGTCATTCTACTTTCTTCATACTAATATGCATCATCTATGTAATCTGTTTTATTTTATTCTCACTAAAGCAATGGATGTGTGGTGAGAAAGCAATAATCAGAATTACCTGAGGTGTGATATTAAATTGCACACCCTCCTTTGAGGAAGAGAGCTGGCTTTTGAAAAAGCCCCCTAAGGTGATTAACTCTTGAAACCCACCAGTTGAGAACCAGTATGCTAGCTGCAGGATAAAAACATCTTACACTAGACTCATTAATTTGCAATGAAATAAAATTAGCAGAGGGTATCAACTATCTTTTCCTCAATTAAAGACACTGAACCATTTAGTTACCTTATGAAAAAACTAAAAAGCTTGCTTACTCTACAAAGATACATTTTGAGAAATATTCTGGTCCATCAATAAATACCTGCTTGGAGATGGAGGCGTGTGAAGTGACATTGTTGGTACCCCTGTTGTTGGCGTGACGTGGCTCGGTAACTGAGTGCCTTGTGATAAGCTGCGATTTAACTGAGGGGTATTGTTGCTCATTCCCCTCATTGGAAGGCCTAGTGCACCTATTAAAAAAATTCAGAAGAAGGAAATTCATTGCCATCAGGAATGAAATTGCTATCCATCTTCTGTAATATAATATGCAAATTTTAAATTGATATATATTCAATTAACTCCAAATGGACTCTGATTTTAACAAAAATAATGTTCTAGTCTGAAATTTAGTATTATAAGTAGATATTGTTTTCATATTTCTATTTTATAATAAACTGTGTCTGTTAATGACTGTAACAAATTAGATGACTTATGTTTGATAAAAACAATTTATACAAGTCTGCCTTTAAGAAATTTACAATTATGTGTTTTTGTTTTAAATCAGGAAGTACACAGACATTTAACCTCACTTTGCTGAAGAAACTTTACTTTTTATATGATCCTTTAAAAATGCATTTATACATAGTTCTCAATATTATAATTTTTACAAACCCAAAATAAAATGTGAGCAACTGATTAAAAACTCAATCTGATAGAGCTATAAGAAACAAAAAAATTTAAACATTTCCCCCCCAAAGTACAATCACCTTCTATTTATCTAGTAGTATTCTTGGGGCCAGAGGCAGGGATAAATGTGTTCCAACAGGTGTATTTTTAAAGACTACTGAGGTTTACTATTCTGATATAAAACAAAAATTAATGAATTGGGATGAACTTTTTTCAAAAATGTATGACATATTTCCTACCTTTTATTAATATAAAATATAATTATTATTTTCTTAATGACTTAGAATAATTATCATGGATATCCAGTATGCTAGATGTTTATTTTTCCCCCTTTTATCCCTCAAAAGTAGGACTGTTCAGACTATAACTTAAGTTGTCATCATATCTGCTGCCTATAAATGAATGCCTCCTTGCCCCCTTCTTCCTGACCCACACAATTTCATGCTTTCTGTTTCTGTCTGTTCTGGATGGCACAGTCAACCAAGCTTAGTCTAAATTGGGAGTTAAATAAAAGTGATAATGAATAAGATGACTTTAGTGCTAGGGATTTAAATTGATTTTCCCTTCCCCCATTCTGGTCTAATTTTGTATCCCCAAACTGCAACAACCTTCATATTTTGAAACTATGACCTCAAAAAAATTGGAGTGTGTGTGTGTACATACACACACATATATGTTCTGAATGTTTCCTTCAAATATCTTTGTAAAATCTATCTTTAGGCACACCATGTATTACCTTCTAATCTAGGCATACTAGTGGATTACGAAGATTTCACTGGAATCTACCAGCCTCAGTACTCAGCCCAACTTTGCTTCTCAACTGAATAAAGCCAATAAATACAACTTAATATAGCTACCATATCTATGTGTACTCGTTTTACTCATGTTCTTTGAAGACCCAAGCTTGGTTCTGCATTTCTTTAAGTCACATGAAGAGAACTGGTCTAGATTACAAGTTGGTTTAGTCACTATACATATGTCTGGTCACTACAAGTTTTGTGATTGTGAGTATGCCACTACTGCAGCTACTTTCTCTGAATCTGGGACAAAATAAGAAAAACAAAAGATTAAAAATCAGCCTATATAAGTATATCAAATATCTGCAGAAGAAATCAGTATTTTCCTTCTTTCAAGCACATAGTTTTCCCCTAGATCCAATACTGTAATGAACCACCCAAGTAATACTTTCCATATCACTCACTGAACAAACATTGACTGAGTGCATAGTATGTGTTAAGCCTGTGCTAGCTGCTGGGGAAACAGTGGTGAACAAGATAGAAATAAGGCTCCTATCCTTAGGGAGCTTACTACATTTTTCTCCCCAAATATGTTGTCCTATAGTCAGCTATAGCTGCAAATTTCCCACAGGAATGCTTTCCTCATGGTAACTAACCACCAAAAAATATGTAATTTTAGAGCCAGAAGGGACCTTAAAGATCATTTAGTCCAAAGTTCACATTTTACAGATGAGGAATCTGAGCCTCAAATAAGTTATTCTGCAAGGTGACACAAAGAACCAAGACTAAAATTAGAGCCCTCTGGGAGCCCAATATAACACTAAATTAACACCCTTGTGAGTGCCTAATGAATTTTAACACCTCTTATCTATTGATTTTTTTCTTCCTTTTTTGAATGTTTATTTCTCTTCAAACGTTTTCTAAATCTTCATCTCTTGTTCTCTTCCCTTCATTTTCTTTCTCCCACTCTTCTCTATACCTGTCAAGTTTTTTTTCCTATAGTTTTACTTTTCCTTTCCTTTTCACTCTCTACAACTTCTTCATTATAAACACACTTTCCAAAAATCTAGTACCCTTAGGCTTTTTTCTAATTAATAAGCCCTACAAAAGACTCACTGAAATTTGTTTACTTCAACCCTTCATATAACAAGTTATTCCATGTTGTATTATGAAAATTCCAAACTTCAGAAATAGAAAGAGAAGTAAGAATGAGTCAAGTTATGTAGTCTATCAGGATGGGCAAATGAGTTAATTTACAGTGCTGAGAATGGAGGAAGACTATGAATAAAGAAACTCGAAGATTAGCTTTTACTTTAATTTTTCCTTCAACACACTTCAATTTCATAAAAACAGCTAATAAATTCAAAAGGTCAGAGTTGCATTTTGAACTAAGTAGGTATAAAATATTTAAAAATCTACAGAGCCCGGTCAGTGTTGCTCAGTGGATTGAGCATTGTCCCATGAATTGAGAGGTCCCAGTTCAATTCACTGTCAGGGCACATACCCGGTTTCGGGCTCGATCCCCAGTAGGGGGCGTGCAGGAGGCAGGGGATAGATGTTTCTCTCATTGATGTTTGTATCTCTCTCAAAAAAAGATCAATTAAAAAATATATTAAAAAAAATAAAAGAGCAGAAAGGAGGGCATCAATCTCAAACTGAACCATTAACCCTTGAATACTTAAGAATTGAGTTATTTTTTTCAAAATTAAATTCCTTTAAAACATAAATAATATCACTGAATAGGAATGTATAAAGATTTACTTTAGGAAACAAGATACACTAAGCCACTAAATTTGAGTTACTTAAGTCAAACTATTATAACTGAGTAGGGTCATTGAAGGAAAAAATTCACGCTTTTACTAGTATAATTAGAAAAAAGTCTATGGGAAAGCATCTCTATATTATACCAAAAAGACATGTAAGTTGAAAAAAAAAAGTAAAAAACAAAAACAGCTCATAAACTTTTTTGGTATAAAATAACTACAATGGGTAAATATAAATAGTATGCCTGAGCTTGTATATTGGGAGGACAGTAGAATTAAAATTTATCAAGCACCTAAGAACTATGCTACTATCAAGTACTATGCTACTTTATCTCCTTTCCTCCTTATAACAATCCTACAGAGAAAATGCTTAGCCCCTTTTTACAGAACAGGAATAAAAGCGTGAACAACAACAAAAACCTGTTAACACGCAATTTGAAAAGTTCTAAAACTTCTCTAAATCAGATTTTTATTTCATTTTGACAAACTGATAATAAAGAGTAATATAATTATTAGGAGAAATATATAAACATATTCTAAATACAAAGCTACACATCTGGAAGGGTGCTAAGCAATCAAACAATGAACTGAATTCTTTATTAATCTTTTTTTCAGAAATCTAAAAGTATATGATCTAAGAAATGTTTCCATGAATTACTTCCACTGCACAAACTGAACACTAGCACATCCCTTAAATACTCATAGCAAGATATGCCATTCTTTATTCAAGGTTTTGCTAAAGATAAACAATAAGTTATAAGGAAAGTTCAATTATAACAACCAAATCCTTGAATATTTTAAGTCTCCTGAAATTTGTATTAAGGACAGGGGGAAAAAAATCCCTAACTGGTGCAAGAGGGATTCTTAAAGTACCTTCCTTTCCACTCCCAAAGCAACTAGTTTCCCCTAGGAATTCACTTGTCCTACCCACACTAACAAAGGATAACCATCTTCTAACCCCCTACCTGTCCTGCATTTAGCTGATTAATCTTCCCTGTAACATTATTTCATTACACAATTTCCTTCATTAAAATGAAAAGAGTTTTAGAGACAGAAAAATCTCTATATTATCATCCAACAAAGTTATATATGAAGAACCACCACCAAGCATTGACTGCTCAAGATCACAAATAATTAAGAATAAAATAATGATCCAATTTCTTGACTCCTATTTCAATACCCTTTTTTAACCAATCATTTTCCATTTCTTATAGCAGTTGCTAACTTTTGTATCAACTGGGTAGCTTTAATGTCCAGGTCCCATGCCCAGAAATTGTGCTTAGTCTGGGTCTGAGACACTCATAGGTTATGGGATATTAAAAACTCTCCAGGTGTTTCTAGGGGTGCAGCCAGGGTTGAGAATCACTCACTGTTTTATAGTTTTAAATCAATCACAGTTTAGTTTTAAAAATTCTCAAGTCCCAAAAAGATTCTTCTGATCTTTTCCCCCCAGCTTTATTGAGATAATTTACATATAATTATTCTAATCTTAGTTAATAGACATATTTTTTTACATACCACACATGACTTACAATCTCTGTTCTTCTTTCTCAATCCTCCCCCCAAATCTGCCCCTTGAACCTTTTATCATATCCTTCTCCCCACCTAGAATATGTTCCCTTCTTTGTTCTACAGAGATACAAAACCATTAAAAACTGCTATAATCAAGGTGTTTACGTGCAGTATATGTATGGTATGCTTGGATGTGTGTGGAGAGGATCACCAGTTCAGATTAACTCAGTTAAAGTAGAATGGATATGTGGATCAGAAAATGTTTCCGGAGGAGACAGTACATACATTAATGAAAGAGACCTAGCCAGGTATTTGGTGATGGTGATGAGGAGTCAGGTGGATAAAAATGTTACAACAGTTCAGTCTGAGAGAATAGCAAGATATATGAAAATGAGGACATGGTATGCCTGGAGTAGGAGGAGGCCTGCTTCTGTGTCTTAAGATCTGAAATAAGCATGGATGGAGTTAACTGGCTTTAACATCCTCAACTATAAGAAGTTGTTGCTCATGGAAATAGGGTACAGACTGACAACCCTCAGAAGAGGGGATGGT